AGTTTTCAAACAACCAGAATCATGGTGAAATGAATCTCTTTCCTTTATAAATCACCCAGCACCAGGTATTCTGTTATAGCAACCCAAAACAGCCCAAGACTCTATTTCCAAACAAGATCATTTTCACAGGTACTAGTGGCTACAATTTGAACATATTCTGGAGGGACACATTTCAACCTATAACACTCCCCCAAATGCACCCTCCAAAATATCTGTAGTGATCTTTTTAAAGCAGGAACCCAGTAAGACACTTCCCTGCTGAAGTCCAAAGACTTCCCATTGCTTTAGAGTCAAGTGCAAAGTGTTAACAATAGACCACAGATTCCATGATGCAGCCCTTGCCTTTCTCTTTTATTTTACTTACTATCATACCCATTTAGGCACTGTCATACTGTTTTTGCTGCTTTATTTATGCCAAGTCCATTACTTGTGGTCATTTGCACTTGCATTTCCCTCCGTCTAGAGTGTTCTTCCCCCTAAATTTTCCAATAGCTATTTTGATCTCACCTTTTAGAATACAACTCAATTTTTTTTTTTTTGACAGGCAGAGTGGACAGTGTGAGAGAGAGACAGAGAGAAAGGTCTTCCTTTTTGCCGTTGGTTCACCCTCCAATGGCCGCCGCTGCAGCCGGCGCACCGCGCTGATCCGATGGCAGGAGCCAGGATCCAGGTGCTTTTCCTGGTCTCCCATGGGGTGCAGGGCCCAAGCACCTGGGCCATCCTCCACTGCACTCCCTGGCCATAGCAGAGAGCTGGCCTGGAAGAGGGGCAACCGGGACAGAATCCGGCGCCCTGACCGGGACTAGAACCCGGTGTGCCGGCGCCGCAAGGCGGAGGATTAGCCTATTGAGCCACGGCGCCGGCTAGAATACAACTCAATTATCATCTTCTTAGGGAGCCTCTTAAAATCACATCAAAAATCATCCTCTACAAGTCATTCTGTCTAACATAGGTCACTTTTTTAGCTTCTTGCTTATCTAGCTTGTTATTATTCTATGCATACCAGAATGTAATCCTCATTAGAAAGTGAGTCTTGGTTGTCTTATCAACCATTATGTCCTCAGAGCTCAGAAAAATTATGGCACATAATCAGCATTCACTTGGGAGATATGGGACTGAGTTGAAAAGGTAGAGAATAGAACAGGACAAGAAATGTCTGGGAGTAGGATATGAAAATAATGGTGATGAACCATGTGATTCAGAAGTGGCCTGAATGCTCAGAAGTTGCTGATGGAAGAGAAAGGGAGATTTCATTAACCTCCACATTAAAAATGGGATGTTTGGTCTGGTAGTATATCAGTGGGGCAAAGTCCTACAGAAGAGAAGATAACAGGATGGACTGTGGTCATTGCAGATACGAATATTACCAGCATCACCAGAGAAGGTCACTCATTACCCAGGGTTTGTGGCATGAGTCAATGAAAGTGTTTCCTTTTTTTCCCCTTGTTTTTTCTTTTCAAAAATTTTTTAGAAGATTTATTTGTTTGAAAGTTGGATTTACACAGAGAGAAGTCTTCCATCCACTGGTTTATTCCTCAGATGGCTACACGGTTGGGGCTGGGCCAGGCCAATGCCAGGAGCTTCCTCCAGGTCTCCTATGTGGCTGCAGGGGCCCAAGTACTTGAGCCATTTTGCTGCTTTATCCAGGCCATTAGCAATGAGCTGGATCAGTAGTGGAACAGTCGGAACTTGAACCAGCACCCAAACAAGATGCTGGCATAGAAGGGTACTGCCCAACCTGCCACTCCACAATACTGGCCCCAAAAGTATTTCCTTAAATCAATGTCTTGTGCTAGGATTTTATTTTAGTCCATCCTGAAAAGGAATTTAGGCTATTCTACTTTGTAAAATTTCTGGAATTTTTCAATATCACCATATGTCGTATTGGTGGATAATCTTGTGTTCCTTCTTCCTTAATAGTTATAAATCCTCCTTCAAAGGCCGGCGCCGCGGCTCACTAGGCTAATCCTCCGCCTTGGGCGCTGGCACACCAGGTTCTAGTCCCAGTTGGGGTGCTGGATTCTGTCCTGGTTGCCCCTCTTCCAGGTCAGCTCTCTGCTGTGGCCAGGGAGTGCAGTGGAGGATGGCCCAGGTGCTTGGGCCCTGCACCCCATGGGAGACCAGGAGAAGTACCTGGCTCCTGCCATCGGATCAGCGCGGTGCGCCGGCCGCAGCGCACCGGCCACGGCGGCCATTGGAGGGTGAACCAACGGCAAAAGGAAGACCTTTCTGTCTCTCTCTCTCTCACTGTCCACTCTGTCAAAAAAAAAAAATTCTCCTTCAAAGTGATAAGTCTCTTTTTTAAATACATAAGAAAAGGAGAGATCTGAAAGAGAATGCTTCATACCATAGTTAGTCTAATCTGAGAGAGGGTCTCCAAAAAAACTGGAGGAATTTGACCTTGGGTAGAAAATAAGATGCTGAACTCTGGCAGGTCCAGGAAGGGAAAGAGAATGGAGAGCTACATGCTATGTAGCTCCCTTAAACTTAAGAAGCATGTCCGTCTTTGGTGATACCTTTCTTAGCCAAAGAATTTCTTGTCACCCTCAGTGAGTAACTTTGGGTTTTAATAAGAAAAAATAAATTGGCTGTCTTCAACTTCTTCAAGGATTGACCCTCAGAGGATGAAGACTGAAAGTACTAATTCTCAACCCCTCTCTTGTTTATTTTTTAATATTTATTTATTTGAAAGACAGAGTGACAGATATATATATATACATATATATAAATTATGTTTATTAGAGATTATACAAACATATAAGAAAATAAACTTGAACTATTTTCCCTAGGGCAAGGTATATTGGTATATTATCCTCTCAAATTACATGATTTTATTCATTTTTTAAAACTTTTATTTAATGAATATAAATTTCCAAAGTACAGCTTATGGATTACAGTGGCTTCCCCGCCCCATAACTTCCCTACTACCTGCAACCCTTCCCTTTCCCTCTCCCTCCCCCCTTCCATTCACATCAAGATTCATTTTCAATTCTCTTTATATACAGAAGATCAGTTTAGCATATATTAAGTGAAGATTTCAACAGTTTGCACCCACATAGAAACACAAAGTGAAAAATACTGTTTGAGTACTCATTATAGCATTAAATACAATGTACAGCACATTAAGGACAGAGATCCTACATGAGGAGTAAGTGCACAGTGACTCCTTTTGTTGACTTAACAAATTGACATTGTTTTTTATGGCATCAGTAATCACCTGAGACTCTTGTCATGAGTTGCCAAGGCTATGGAAGCCTTTTGAGTTCGCCGACTCTGATCATATTTAGACAAGGTCGTAGTCAAAGTGGAAGTTCTCTCCTCCCTTCAGAGAAAGGTACCTCCTTCTTTGATGACCTGTTCTTTCCACTGGGATCTCACTCGCGGAGATCTTTCATTTAGGTGGTTTTTTTTTTTTTTTTTTTTTTTGCCAGAGTGTCTTAGCTTTCCATGCCTGAAATACTCTCATGGGCTTTTCAGCCAGATCCGCATGCCTTAAGGGCTGATTCTGAAGCCAGAGTGCTGTTTATTGACACTATGAGAAACAGTGACTTGATCAGCTATTGTCCTGTTGATGTACAATGTAATACTTTATCCATTTTAGTTTTTTTTTGTTCTAGTACTACTGGTTGAACTCTAATTAACACACAATTATTCTTAGGTGTTTAAATTTTAAATGAAAAGTGATCCCTGTTAGGAATTTGGAAAGCATTATGCTTAGTGAAAAAAGCCAGTCCCAAATGGACAAATATTGTATGTTCTCCCTGATTGGTGACAACTAACTGAGCACCAAAAAGGAAACCTGTTAAAGTGAAATGAACACTATGAGAAACAGTGACTTGATCAGCCCTTGCCCTGACTGTTGATGAACAACTTAATACGTTATCCCTCTTAGTATTTTTTGTTTGTTTGTTCTACTTAATACTTTTGGTTGAATACTGTAATCAATACACAGTTATTTTTAAGTGTTGAAACTTAACTGAAAAGTGATCGCTGTTAAATATAAGAGTGGGAATAAGAGAGGGAAGAGATGTGCAATTCGGGACATGCTCAAGCTGACTTACCTCAAACGGTAGAGTTAGAAACATACCAGGGGATTCCAATTCAATCCCATCAAGGTGGCATGTACCAATGCCATCTCACTAGTCCCAGTGATCAATTTCTGTTCACAATTGATCATAATGATAGGACTAAGAACCAAAGGGATCACATAAACAAGACTAGTGTCTGCAAATACTAGCTGATAGAATAAAAAAGGGAGAGAACGATCCAACATGGGAAGCGAGATACACAGCAGACCCATTGATTTTATTCATTTTTAAAAAGATTTCTTGGGGTTTGCTTTGTGGCATAACAAGTTAAGCTACCACCAGCAACACTAGCATTGCATATGGGCACCAATTCGAGTCCTGGCTGCTCCACTTCTGATCCAGCTTCCTGATAATGTGCTTGGGCACGTGGAAAGCACAGATGAAGTTCCTGGCTCCTGGCTTTGGCCTGGCACAGCCCTGGCTGCTGTGGGCATTTGGGGGTGAACCAGCAGATGGAAGAACTCCATCTCTCCCACCATCTGTAACTCTGACTTTCAAAAATAAATAAATAAATTTTCTTTAAAAATATTTCTTTCTGTATATATTTGAAAAGCAGAGTGATAGAAGGAGGTAGAGACAGAGATCTTTTATCTGCTCATTCACTTTCCTAATGGAAGTAACGTCTGGTATGGGGCAGTCTGAAACTAAGATCCAGAAACTCTATCCTGGTTTCCCACATAGGTGGCAGGGGCTCAAGTACTTGTGCTTATCCACCACTGCCTTCCCAGGCACATTAGCAGGAGTGCTGGATTGGAAGCAGAGCAGCCAGGACTTGTACTGGCACACTGAAATGGGATGCCAGTATTGCAAGTGGGAACTTAATCTACTGTGCATCAACACTGTCCCCTCAAATACTGTGATTTTAGTTCTCAGACATAGATGAAGTGAATTACACTTGTTCTTGTTTTGCAGCCTGGAGATGTAGTCTATCCCAGAGATGAGAATGGCAAGTGGTTATACCACAAGACAAATTTGTGTGCCACATGGGAGGTAAGTTCAAATGGGCTTTTATTTTAAAAGAACTTATTTTAAACAGTGATCTGATTGATTTGTCAGATTTAAAGTAACAGAGCAGACAGTTCTAACAATATACACAGATACGTGAGATCTCTATGTGTAGGTGCTGAATAATTCTTGATTTTGTTTTATTGGAAGAGAAAAATTTTAAAGAAAAGGAAGGGGAAGGTGTGGAAGAAGAAAGTATAGAAAATATTTCTTAAGAACAGTAATTAAAAATATTTAAACAGGATAAATTAAAAAGATTGAATTTTAAAAAGCCAATAGTAAGATGTCCAGAATAAACCAACTTAAAACAAGAGGATGCATGAATGACTTGGAATAATTCTGGATCCAGTTCTGAGCCAACTGCTGACTCCTCTCCAAGATCAGAGTGGAAACTGTGGGAAAACAAGGAGAAACTTATGGATTCAATAGTGGGGAGGGAAGTTTGGAAGCTTGTGAGGTAGTTTTACAGCTTTGACCTGGAATAGGAGGCAACCCAAGGAGCAGTAAAGGGCATTCGTCATAAGTATGGGAGAGGAGCTACTGAAGCTCTTTCTCCACTTTGTTCTCCCCTGCCATAGCCCGGGGGCAAGTACTGCCTGCTCCAAACACAGGTACAGACTGAGGACTCACGGTGAGAAGTCTTCAGAAATCACATCAGAGCAGCAGTGTTCCAGCAATTCGGGAAGCTGAGAAAACACAAGTCATTTGTTTCCAGTCACTCCCATTCCACGCTCCAGAGCCTGGGAAGTCACACTGTGATGAATATCTCTTATTTACTCCCCCTGTGTAATGGTTGGGAACTTGACCTATCTGTGTAAAGAAGCTTGGAATGGGTTTTCAGGTGCTGGGTTTTGCACCCAGGAGACCTGTGCTCACTTCTGGCCCCAGTGTTGCTGATAGGTTTGCCTGGGAGGAACTGCCTCATAAGGTAGCGGTATCCCCAGGAGATACGAGATGGGAAATATAAATTTAAGCTCAGTGATACCAATAATCAGAGAATACAGAAATGTCTAAGCAATCCAGTTAAAAGGCAGAGGTTGTAAGAATGGATAGAAGCCATAAGCCAGTATGTATTAATACACAAGAAACCCTTTTAAAGACTCAAAAATAGGTTAAGAGGAAAACGTTTTCCTCTTTCTTTCTCTCTTTTTCCTCTTTCTTTCCTTCCTTTTTTTTTTTTTTTTTTTTTTTTGACAGGCAGAGTAGACAGAGAGAGAGAGAGACAGAGAGAGAGAAAGGTCTTCCTTTGCCATTGGTTCACCCTCCAATGGCCGCCGCTGCAGCCGGCGCACCGTGCTGATCCGATGGCAGGAGCCAGGATCCAGGTGCTTTTCCTGGTCTCCCATGGGGTGCAGGGCCCAAGCACCTGGGCCATCCTCCACTGCACTCCCTGCACAGCAGAAAGCTGCTTGGAAGAGGGCACGGACAGAATCTGGGGCCCCGACCGGGACTAGAACCTGGTGTGCCGGCGCCGCAAGGCGGAGGATTAGCCTATTGAGCCACGGCGCCGGCTCTCTTTCTTTCTTTCTGACAGGCAGAGTTAGTGAGAGACAGAGACAAAGGTCTTCTTTCTGTTGGTTTACCCCCAAAATGGCCACTACGGCTAGAACCCGGGGTGCTGGCGCCACAAGTGGAGGATTAGCCTAGTGAGCCGCGGCGCTGGCACATTTTCTTTTTCTTTTCTTTTTTCTTTTTCTTTTTTTTTTTGACAGGCAGGGTTAGTGAGAGAGAGGGACACACACACACAGAGAGAAAGGTCTTCCTTTTTCTGTTGGTTCACCCCCCAAGTGACCGCTATGGTCGGTGCATTGTGGCCAGCACACTGCGCCAATCTGACGCCAGGAGCCAGGTACTTCTTCCTGGTCTCCCATGTGGGTGCAGGGCCCAAGGACTTGGGCCATCCTCCACTGCCTTCCCAGGCCACAGCAGAGAGCTGAACTGGAAGAGGAGCAACCGGGACAGAATCCAGCGCCCCAACTGGACCAGAACCTAGGGTACCGGTACCACAGGTGGAGGATTAGCCTAGTGAGCCATGGTGCCGGCAAGTATATAGTACTTCTGTAGTATATGGGAGATTTAAACATTATCAATATTTCTTATCTAATTGATATTTATAGAACATTTTATCAAAACAAAGAGAATGCTATTTTTCACATGTACATGGAACATTTAATGAGACAGGCCATTTCCTGAGCCATAAAAATTTATCTCAATGAGTTCTAAATTTTTCTAATTATGTAAAATATGCTGCCTGATACTATTGGAATTAAACCTGAAATTATTAACAAAAACATATCTGAAAAATCACCAGATATTTGGAAACTAAGAAGCATACCTGTGAGAAACCAATTAGCAAATAAAGGAAATAAAATCTGTTTTTTTATATCACCTAAATGTTAGCAACACAATTTGAAACTGAATTTTAAATGAATATTAAATATTTTTAGATCATATAATAGTTTGTCTAAGACCTATCTAATAAAAACTATAACATGTTAGTGAGATAAATCAACGGTGTAAATAAAAGGAGAGATACACCACATCCCTTGATATAGTTGACCTAATCAGTCTCACTAAATTTATCTGTAGACTCAATATAATCCTAGTCAAGGGGCTGGCGCCGTGGCGCAGCAGATTAACACGCTGGCCTGAAGCGCTGGATCCCATATGGGCACTGGTTCGAGACCCGGCTGCTCTACTTCCTATCCAGCTCTCTTCTATGGCCTGAGAAAGAAGTAGAAGATGGCCCAAGTCCTTGGGCACCCACGTGGGAGACCCAGAAGAAGCTCCTGGCTCCTGGCTTCAGATCAGCGCAGCTCCAGCATTGCGGCCAATTGGGGAGTGAACCAGCAGATGGAAGACCTCTCTCGCTCTCTCTCTCTCTGCTTCTCCTCTCTCTGTTTAGCTCTGACTTTCAAATAAACGAATAAATCATAAAAAATATAATCCTAGTAAAAATCCCAATGGAAATGGAAAAGTTATTTCTAAAATTTATATAGAAATGAAATAGCTTGTAATTGTCAAAACAATTCTGAAAGAATGAGGGAGAAATTTGGAGGACTTATACTAACTTTGAGAAGTTCTATACAACTGTAGAAATCATGATCATGTCATAGTAGGGCATAGATGGATATCTAAATCAATTAAACAGAATAGAGAAGCCACATATATGGTCATACATATGCATCATATGCATATGTGTGGTCAGTTTATTTTCAGCAGAATTGCCAAGGCAATTCAGTGGGAGAGGGAGAATCTTCCAGTGGTACTGAAGCCGACTCATATCACCTTGCAAGAACTGATTGTGCAAATCCCTTTATAACTTATAATTTGGTGATGTCTTGATAGTCTGAGTGCAGCCTGATGTGAATGGTCATATTGTAGAAATTATCAAATTACAAATTGGGGCCTTTTTCTCCTGGATAGTGAATTGTTAGATATTTATCAGCATTCTACCAGAGGTGTTCATTATCTTGACTGCACTGATGATTTCACTGATGTGTTTATATGTTAAAATTCACCAGAATGTACACTTCAAATATGTGTAGTTTATTGTGTATCAGTTCTAACTCAATATATTATATATTTAAATGAAAATAAAAATTAAAACTTCCAGACAGAAAGAACTAATCACATACAATGAAATTAGTATCTCTTTTGTTTTATTTTCAGTTACACTGGTTGTAAAAAGATAATAATATTTTCTTTTTTTTAAAGATTTATTTATTTACTTGAAAGTCAGGGCTGATGCTGAGGTGTAGTGAGTAGAACGGCAGTTTGAGGGTGGGAGGATGGGTATGGGGGGAAGAACTGCTATATTCCAAAAGCTGTACCTGTGAAATTTATATTTTTTAAATAAAAGCTCTCTAAAAAAATTGCTAGCTCTGGTTTCTTATTCCAGTTTTCTACTAGTGCTGACCCTGGGAAGCAATGATGATGGCTCAAGTAATAGGGTTCAAATGGGAGACCTGGATAGCATTCCCAGAATGTGGTTGTGGCCCTGGCCCATCCCTGACACTTGTAGGCATCTAGGATTTGAACTAGTGGATCAGGGCTTTCTCTGTCTCTCTGCCTAAATAAAATTTATAATTTGTGTATATGTGTGGACAGCAGGAAGCTATTGATAAATCCAGCATTATAATGGTAAATTTATAACATATTCCTTTCACATACTGAGAAAAGTAAAATTAGGCCTGATTTTATATATATTGTGTATGCTGTACATACATACTCATTTGTATAAGAGAGAGGAGAAAAAGATAGTTTTAAATCCAAAAATAGGTGTGTATATGCTTTTCATATACACTAAAACATTTACAAAAATGAATATGCCTATGCCATAAAGAAACCTCAAAAAATTTCAGGAAATCTGATTTTATTAATGTATACTAATATATAATATATAATGTATATGCTGCAAAAATACAATGTGTAGATATGGTATGTAGTTTTTCTTTCTTTTTTTAAGATTTATTTATTTATTTATTATTGAAAGGCAGAGTTACAGAGAGTCAGAAGCAGAGAGAGAGAGCATGAGAGAGAAAGCGAGAGCGAGAGAGAGAGAGAGAGATGTCTTCCATTTGCTGTTTCACTTCCTGAATGGCTACAATGGCCAGAGCTGGGATGATCCAAAGCCAGGAGCCAAGAGCTTCTTCAGGGTCTCCTATATGGGTACAGGGGCCCAAGGACTTGGCCCATCTTCCGCTGCTTTCCCAGGTACATCAGCAGGGAGCTGGATCAGAAGTGGAGCAGCCGAGACTTGAACTGGTGCCCATATGGGATCCCGGCACTTCAGACAGCGGCTTTGCTCTCTATGTCACAGTGCCAGCCCCAGTATATAGTTTTTCTCAGACTCATGCAATCATGGAATTCCTGCCTTTCTCCACCCCCCACCCTTTTTCCTAACAGAATGCCTCTTGAGATGTCTAAGGTCTTTTCCTTTTCAACCCTCATAAGCATTTATTAATTTTTATTTTTCATCTTATTGAAAAGTGTATTCCATGTGGCCACTTCGTTGTGGCATTGCTCTGCCAAATGCCCACTGCTAAACGTTTAATTTGGCTTCCTGTGAGGCCTCTTTCTTGACCTGTTGTCTCTTATAGGCTTTGGAAGCTTGCAAAGACGCTGGCCTGGTGAAATCCCTCGGGGTGTCCAACTTTAACCGCAGGCAGCTGGAGCTCCTCCTGAACAAACCAGGACTCAAGCACAAGCCCGTCTGCAACCAGGTACAGCTTGTTTCTACCGCAGGTGGAGGGGACCCAGGGCAGCGTTTACTAAGAGAGCGAGGCCTGGACCAGGGGTCGGGAGGTCTTGTGGCTCCACAGCAACCTCATCACAGGACTCTGTGATGAGGACCCTGTGATGAGGACCTCTCTCAATTTAAGAAAGCTTTGGGAGAGAGGGTTTCAAGATGGCGGAATAGGGAGGGAGCTTACTGATAGTCCAGGAGAAGATATTTTAATATAGGTGTAGATAGTGTAGTCTCAGGAAAGAGGGAAAAAAACGGCAGAGGAAACTTTTCCGTAATTAGAGGGATACGGTGGATCTACGTGGAAGGCACAGGCGCCCACAGCTTGGGACCCCAGCTGCCGAGAGCCTGCACACCAACGCTGGAAAGAGAGGTGAGATGAAACTGCAGTAGCCCGAGACACTGGCAGAAAGGCAGCAGGAACAGCCTAGAGGGAAACTGGGGGAAAGTACACCAGCCTAACTAGAGGAGAGAAGAAATAAAAGGGAAGGTACGGACATGATTCTCTCTCTCCAATCACCTTACAAAGGCGTACGAGCCAACAGAGCAGGCACCATTTTGGACATATGTAACAGCTGCACCAGCTTGGAGCTGTGTCTGGCAATCAGCCAAGCAGAAAAACCTGACTCTTGTGGGGAGTAATAACAGGAGTCTAAGACCTAGTGAATGTGTGGAGCTTATGATCTGGGACTGTGGAAAAAAAAATTGAGGGTGTGTGGGAGAACTCATGGTGTGGCTGAGATGTGAGTAGTCTCTGTGGGAGATGCCATAAGCTCGGTAGCCTTGGCTACAAGGTGAGAGACATTTCAGGGGAATCTGAGCTTACACTGAGGACTGCACAGATCCTTTGTGTGGTCCTTGGGACAGAGCAGGCGAACACTATACCCACTGGGGCTAGCACTCAGGCACTGATCGCCATCGAGGAGAAGAGCTCAACTGAGCGTAATTACTTCCCTACTGATTAAAACAAAAAAGAGAGAAGATTTACCAACCAAACCTGGGTGTGTCACCTTTGGCACACCCTTAATCCTGAAGAACTGAACAGAGCTCTCTGGCCACACCCACCACAAGCCTCTAGAGATTCACTGAAAGCAGACAGTCCACTTATCTACAGAGTCATAGTACAACAAGAAAAGCCACCACAGCGGGAGGGGAAAAAAAGAAGAAACCAATGACTATCTCCACAAATGCCAAACAACAAACACAACAACTGAGGAAACAAGAACAAGGAAGACAACATGACACTCCCAAAAGAACATGACACTCCAATACAAGATTATGAAGACAATGAGACAGAAGAAATGCAAGAAATGGGCCAAGGACCTCAATAGATATTTTTCAAAAGAGGAAATCCAAATGGCCAACAGACACATGACAAAATGTTCAGGATAACTAGCCATCAGGGAAATGCAAATCAAAACCACAATGAGGTTTCACCTGAACCCGGTTAGAATGGCTTACATACAGAAATAAATTAACAACAGATGCTGGCGAGGATATGGGGAAAAAGGCTCGTTAATCCACTGTTTGTGGGAATGGGAACTGGTAAAGCCACTATGGAAGACATTTGGAGATTCCTCAGAAACCTGAATATAGCCCTAATACATGACCCAGCATCCCATGCCTTGGAATTTACCCAAAGGAAACTAAATTGGCAAATAAAAGAGCTGTCTGCACCTCAGTGTTTATTGCAGCTCAGTTCACAATAGCTAAGACAAAGAATCAACCTAAATGCCCATCAACATAAGGCTGGATAAAGAAATTATGGGATATGTACTCTATAGAATACTATACAGCAGCAAAAAAAAAAAAAAAAAAAAAGAAGAAGAAGAAATCCGGTCATTTGCAACAAATAGAGGAATCTGGAAGACATCATGCTGGAATCTGGAAAACATCATACTGAGTGAATTAAGCCAGTCCCAAAGGGAAAAATATCATATATTCTCCCTGATCAGTGACGGCTAACTAAGCACCTAAAAGGAAACCTGTAGAAATGAAACTGACACCATGAGAAACAATGACTTGATCAGCCCTTGTCCTGATTGTTGAGGAACAACTCACTATTTTATTCCTTTTAGTATTTTTTTGTTCTACTTAATACTATTGGTTGAACTCTTTAATCAACACACAATTATTCTTAGGTGTTTAAATTTAACTGAAAAGTGATCTCTGTTAAATATAAGAGTGGGAATAACAGAGGGAGGAAATGTATAGTTTGGCACATGCTCACTCAGACTTACCCCTAATGGTAGAGCTAGAAATGTGCCAGGGGACTCCAAATCAGTCTCATTAAGGTGGCATGTACCAATACCATTTTACTAGTCAAAGTGATCAGTTTCAGTTCATAATTGATCATAAAGATAGGATTAAGTGTCAAAGGGATCACATAAACAAAACCAGTGTCTGCTAATACTAACTGATAGAATTAAAAAGGAGAGAATGATCCAATATGAGAAATGGGATACACAGCAGACTCATAGAATGGCAGCTGTCCTAAATAGCACTCTGGCCTGCGAATCAGCCCATAAGGCATTTGGATCTGGCTAAAAAGCCTATGAGAGTATTTCAGGCATGGAAAGCCAAGACACTCTGGCAAAAAAAGACCTAAATGAAAGATCTCTGTGAGTGAGATCCCAGTGGAAAGAATGGGCCATCAAAGAAGGCAGTACCTTTCTTTGAAGGGAGGAGAGAACTTCCACTTTGATTATGGCCTTGTTTAAATAAGATCAGGGTTTGTGAACTCAAGAGGCTTCTATAGCCTTGGCAGCTCATGACAAGAGCCTCAGGTGATTACTGACATCATAAATAAGAGTGTCAATTGTTTTTTTTTAACTTTTATTTAATGAATATGAATTTCCAAAGTACGACTTATGGATTACAATGGCTTCCCCCCCATACCGTCCCTCCCACCCACAACCCTCCCCCTCCCACTCCCTCTCCCTTTCCATTCACATCAAGATCCATTTTCAATTATCTTAACATACAGAAGATCAGCCTAGCACACATTAAGTAAGGATTTCAACAGTTTGCTCCCACACAGAAACATAAAGTGAAAAATAATAGATGATTTTTTTAAATGATGATGAAATCAGATCAGACCTATTGTCATGTTTAATCCCAGTGAGAGTCAAGTTGGGAATTGATAATTTTTTTTTTTTACAGAAGATCAGTTTAGTATGCATTAAGTAAAGATTTCAACAGTCTGCACCCCCATAGAAACACAAGGTGAAATATATTGTTTGAGTACTCGTTATAGCATTAAATCCCAATGTACAGCATATTAAGGACAGAGATCCTACATGAAGAGTAAGTGCACAGTGACTCCTGTTGTTGACTTTACCAATTGACACTCCTGTCTATGGCATCAGTAATCTCCCTATGCTCCAGTCATGAGTTTCCAAGGCTATGGAAGCCCTCTGAGTTCTCCGATTCTTATCTTGTTTAGACAAGGTCATAGTCAAAGTGGAGGTTCTCTCCTCCCTTCAGAGGAAGGTACTTCCTTCTTTGAAGACCTGTTCTTTCCACTGGGATCTCACTCACAGAGATCTTTTTGCCAGAGTGTCTTGGCTTTCCATGCCTGAAATAAAGAGTGTCAATTGTTAAATCAACAACAGGAGTCACTGTTCACTACTCCCCATGTAGGATCTCTGTCCTTAATATGTTGTACTATGTGAATTAATGGTAAAACTAGTACTCAAACAGTAATTTATCCTTGTGTATCTGTGTGGGCGCAAATTGTTGAAATCTTTATTTAGTATATACTAAGTTGATCTTCTGTATATAAAGATAATTGAAAATGAATCTTGATGAAGAATGGGATGAGAGATGTTGTGGGAGATGGGATGGTTGTGGGTGGGAGGGAGGTTATGGGGGGAAAAGCCACTATAATCCAAAAGGTATACTTTTGGAATTTATATTTATTAAATAAAAGTTTTTTTTAAAAAAGCTTTGAAGCTCAAATCCATAGAAAAATAACTAAGAAAAGAATGAGGTGGAATAAGACCTGTACTATGTGGAGACATAGTACAGAGTATTTAAAATAATGTGAAGCCATTGCAGGAAACATTGTACAAATAAATGGACGTTAATAAATACCTTAGAAATAGGACCAAGTATAATAAAAATGTAATGTAAAGTAACACAAATTAATGGCAAAGGGATGATTTTCTTTTTTTTCTTTTAAAAATAAAGTGGCAATTTAATTCATTCAGCAAATACACATTGAATACATCCATATTCAAGGGTCACATTATTATAACTTTGACATCTAGGGCATGCTAAAGGGTGAGATAGTTTCCCTGAAGTCATCATATAAGACAGAAGCCTAATCCGTACTTCTAAAATAGATTTTTCTTTTTTAGTAAATAGTGTGAGAAAAATGACTCCATGTAGAAACAAATGTAGATCTTTGCCTCATACTAAAAAGTTAATATCCCTTGGTCAGTAGTTAAAGAAGACAAAATCACCCAGAAATACAAGAAGAGAGCTTTAGTTTTCTGGAGCAATGGGTAGAAACAAAAAACCATGGAAAAAATCACAAAGACAACTTTAAATTATTAGTATTTATTTAAATATTATTTAACTATTATTAAAATTTTAATATAAACATCTAGTAACAATTAAGGAGCAAAGAAAAATAAATAATAATAACATTTCTAGAAATATAATAGAAAAGTTGTTCACCTCCTTATGAATTAAAAATCTAGTAAATATCAGTGAAACATAAGTAAAAAAAATTAAGATTCAACATAAAAATGTGTAAAAGAAGTGAACACAAATTCACAAAGACAGAACTTACAAAACTGGTCAATATGAGGATACTGCAGAAATTCATGAAAAAATGCATATTATTAAAAAATTGTGCATGGATTTCCAGATTTCTTATATATGTGTGCACCAAAATAACCTCCTCTTTTAATTTCATTTTCCAGGACGTTTTTGAGGGAGCTTCATATATGAAAAATGTTCAACTCACCATTAATTAGAGAAATGCAAATATAAGTGTGATTCTGTATTTCATATTAGCAGAGTGTCTGTTGTACATTTACATATGCTGTACTTATTATAATGCTCTGCATAAGCAAGTGATGAGGCACCAGAGAATATAAATTAACTCAGTCTGACTGGAGATCAATGTGGCAATATATATTAAGAGCCTTAACAATGTTCAGAGGATTCCATTTCTAGGAATCTATTTTGATTAAAGAATCTCAGGATGCTCAGATAGACTTCGTGTGTGTTTATCAAAGCATGGCTTATTAAGAGGAGAGAGGATGGTAACAACATTGAAAATTAGGAGAATGATTAAATAAATTTTAAAGCATTCATAATATATAAGACCTTAATAGAAGAAAGAGAGATTAATTTATCCCATTAAGAAAAAGACCTAGATACAAACTGTAGCATATAATATGGATGTGGTTATGTTATTAATGTGGATTTTGTTGAAGAGTTTTTTTTTTAACTATGTGAAATGCATTTGACTACAAGAAACTAAATTTGTGCTTTGTTCTCCAATACAACTACATAGGTTGAGTGCCACCCTTACTTCACCCAGCCAAAACTCCTAAAATTTTGCCAACAACACGACATCATCATTGTTGCATATAGCCCTTTGGGAACTTGTAGGAATCCAATGTGGTAAGTAGTTTGGCATTAGTTTGTGTCACATCTTTTCAGAAAGTTGTTCATTCGGTGTAGTGAGGCTACTGTGAATTACTTAATTGGAATGACCTATTTGACTGTTTGATCTTAATCCATTATGTCCCATTGTCCTATTTATAGGACACATAAATACTTGAATTGAACCATAAATATACTACTTCTGGCAACTATGAAATAAATATTTCATTGAAATAGAAATTGAAAACTCGGCACTTAACTGGTTAAGACAGTAATCTGTTCAAATCATTATATGCTTATATGCAATAGAGCTTTTAATACGCTTCTCCCTGAAGTGTTGTTAGAATTCATTACGAGTGTAAAATTATCTGTCAGTGCCTGGTATATATGAAAGGCCAAATAAATGTTATTTCAATTATTATTTGACAAAGAGTTTTTATGGTTAGGTTCTGAAATATTTGAATCTTTTGTTCTGTGTATAGAATGGTGGCACTTCAATGTGAGGTGTTCCACAAAGTAGAAATTTTTCTACTCTAAGATGATACCAAAACTTGTGGCTCTGTTTCTTCCACTTTAGTCTTTCTGCCTTTCCCTGTGTGGACTTCTGATCCAGTTCTCTCTGTAAGACTCGTCAGAGGAGGCTGGCATTGTGGTGTGTCCCTTATGGGCACCAGTTCGGGTTCCAGCTGCTCCACTTCCCATCCAGCTCCCTGCTAATGTGCTTTGGAAAGCAGCAGAAGATGGCCCAATGCCTGGGCTCCTGCACCTGCATCGGAGATCTGATGAAGCTGCTGGCTGCTGGCTTTGGCCTGACTCAGCCTCAGCTGTTGCTGCCATTTGTGGAGTGAATCAGTGGATGGACGATCTCTCTCTCTCTCTCTCTCTCTCTCTCTCTCTCTCTCTCTCTCTCTGTAATTCTGCCTTTCAAATAAAGAAAATTAATATTTTTTTAAAATAGAAGACTCTTCAGAACACTATTATTACTTACCCTCCGGAAGAGGCATCTTCATAAACTTTCTTCCTTGATCTTCTCATACAAAGAACAACTCTTCATTCAAGGGATTCTGTCACTTAGAGAAACTGATTACAAGTGACCTGCAGTGTCCTGGTGGGTCACCAGATAAAGAGGAGACAGGTAACAGAGGAGGAGGGGGTTTGGTTAACACTTGGTTGTCATCTCTCTGCCTAAATGTGATTTATGTCTTGATTTTTTGAAAGGGTGAATACATCTCTCCCGCCTTTGTTAAAGGACACACTGCTGAACTCACTGGGCAAAAAGTACAAGAAGACTGCAGCCCAAATTGTTTTGCGTTTCAACGTTCAGCGAGGGGTGGTTGTCATTCCTAAAAGCTTTAATCCTGAAAGGATCAAAGAGAACTTTCAGGTAAGAGGATTGCTTTTGGAAATGTGAAAATATGGGTACGTTTCTTGCCTTTGCTTTCAGAGCATGTTCTATTTGGCTCACTAAGCAATTTGTAATGCTGTGTTGCTTGATTACCACTGCCCACATCTTTGTATAATTCCCAGTACTTGGCGATTGCTTTGCTGCTTGTTATTCATCTCCCTTCAATCTTCTTCCCCCTTCTCTGTTGACTCTGGACATTCCCTGCTCATTTCTACACAACAGAAATATGTAAGGTTTGACATTCATTATAAACTATGTCCTTTCTCAATGACTCTGGTAAAACTTGGAAACAAATTTGAAAATTATTGCAGAGAAGGAGAAGGAGGAGGATGAGGAGGAGGATGGGGGGGGGAGGAGGGGGGGAGGAGGGGGAGGGGAGGGGGAGGGGAAGGGGAAGGGGAAGGGGAAGGAGGTCTTTCATTTGCTGGTTCACTCCCCAAATGGCTGCAATGGCAAGAGCTGAGCCCATCCGAAGCCAGGAGCCAGGAGCTTCTTATAGGTCTCCCATGCGGGTTCAGAGGCCTAAGCACTTGGGCCATCTTCCACTGCTTTCCCAGGCCACAGCAGAGAGCTGGATCAGAAGTGGAGCAGCTGAGACTAGAACAAGTGCCCATGTGGGATTGCAGCACTGCAGGTGGCAGCTTTACCTGCTACACCACAGTGCCGGCCCTCATTGCTGATTTTTAAAAAATGTTTGACAAAATTGTACACCATGATATTCTATATTTCACAAGGGGTTTTGCAGAATGATCATAAAGAGAACAATTCTAAAACCTTTGGAAGGCTTCAACTGTACCCACTGGGCAACAATGCAAATGATTTTTTTTCAAACCATTCTTTTTTTTTTTTTTTTTAGAAAAATTTACTTATTTTACTTGAAAGGCAGTGAAAGAGAGAGGGAGAGAGAGAGAGAGAGAGAGAGAGAGAAACTGGGGCATGGTGAGAGAGAGAAAGAGAGAGTGTTCTGTCTGCTGGCTCCCATCCCCAAATGGACCCAACAGCCAAGTTTGCACCAAGCCAAAGCCAGGAGCAGAAACTCCATCCAGGGCTTCCTACCTAGGTACAGGGGCTCAAGCACTTTCATTCAGTGCTTTCCCAGGTGCATTGGAAGGGAAGTATATCAGAAATGGAGCAGCAGGGGCATAAACTGGTACCCTTATAGGGTATCCACATTGAAGGCAGTGATGTAACTCACTGTGCTTCAACACCAGCCCCTTAAATAATGTTCTTCTGTGTCTACCAAAGTACATTTTTAATTAATGAATTTATCTGAAAGGCCGAGTTACACACACACACACACACACACACAGAGAGAGAGGGAGAGAGGGAGAGAGATTGAATCACAAGAGGTTCTGTCCCTGACAAGCTGAGGTGCATTACTCCCATAGCTGTGTTCTTGCTCACTCACCTGGTAGCTCGGATTCCTCATTTTTCATTCCATGCTTGTCTGTGTACTTCCGTGGTGTCCGTTTCTTTACACACACCACATAGTTAGGTACTACACAGATAATTAAACTTCACAAATCATTAAATGTATTTAAAAATCAGAGTATGTGCAAAGTATATAAGTATAAAGAAAAATTAAAATGGAAAATGCTATTAAAATATAAAGGTAGGCAAAACATTGAAAACTATATAAGAACATATTTCAAGATAAAAAAATCAAAATTTCAAAAAATATGCAATTTTAGAAACTAGGAAATTTTTTTTAAAGTATAAGGCAGTAGTCCAAAATAAAAAACTGACCATTTTTTAAAAAAGATTTATTTTATTTAATTGAAAGAGAGTGACAACTGCGGTGGGTTTGGGGGAGGGGCAAGACTATTCCATTGCGAGCTGGTCCACTCCCTCACATGGCCACAACACTGGGCCAGGCTGAAGCCAGGAGTCTGGAACTCCATCTGGTGGCAGAGACCCAAACATTTGAGCCATATTTGCTGCTTTCCCAGGTGCATTAGCAGCGAGCAGAATGGAAATAGAGCAGCTAGAACTTAGAGTGCCACTCATATGGAACACCAGCATTGCAAGTGGTGGCTTAAGGGGATGCACCAAAATGCTGGCTCCAGAGCTGAGCATCTTACACGGAAATAATAATGATTCTTCACACTGGAATTTCAGGAGAGTTCCTGAACATCTGCTGTTTGACAGAGCATTTGGAATGTCTTGCAAACTGTTCTCAGCAGGATTATCTCAGAGGTGAAGGGTTGAGCAGAATGTCAAGCCCTACTTCCCCTGGTGGCTCCAACAGCAGCCCCAGCCTTCTCAGGCACCTGTGGAGACGCTCCTATACCTGAGGAGGGCGCCCTCTGCTGGCCATACTCTCTCACCCCAAGCCTAACCCTTCCACCAACAAAAATGTTCTTTTGTTCTGATTGTTTCAGATCTTTGACTTTTCTCTCACTGAAGAAGAAATGAAGGACATTGAAGCTTTGAATAAAAATGTTCGATATGTGGAATTGCTCATGTAAGTTTTGGGGGATTGTTCATCAGAAATTTCCCAGTGGCCAACAGGGCTCCTACACACCCTGACCCATGTGTGCACAGAAAATACAGGCTCAAGGATAGTGGGTTGCATGTTCTAAATATTAAACACGCCTGGATGAGATATATACATTGTGAGAGGGATTCAAAAAGTTCATGTGAAAATGGTATTAGATAACATGCGTTGTCCATGAATTCTTTGAAGCCTCCTTGCCCCCAAAATTCCTACAACCCCAAACTTCTATTTATACTTGATCTTAGCCAAAAGGTTGAGAAATGTTAGCCTACACTTATTTAAGAGAATCCTGGATTTGTGCCATTTCATGGCTTAAAGTGTGGCATGCTAAGAACTCTGAGAATTAACTCACGATGTTCATGTGTTAGAGAATTTACTCATTATGTACATGTTAAGGAATTAATTCGTAATGTATATACATCAGAGAATTAACTCATTGCATACATATTAGAGAATTACCTCGTTACATAGATATTTTAGAGAATTCATATAATACATATATATATAAATCATTATGTATATATGTTTTAGGATTAACTCATATGCACATGTTAGAGAATTAACTCACTATGCACATGTCAGAGAATTCATAATGCATATATGTTAGAGAATTAACTCATGATGTACATATGTTCGAGAATTAGCTAATAACATACATATGTTAGAGCATTAACTCGTGTACATGTTAAACAATTAATGCAATGTATACATGTTAGAGAATTAACTCTTGATGTATATATGTTAAAATAACAGCGGCAAAAGTATCCAAATATATTTATTTCTTCTCCAAAAGCAAAGTGATGCATAAATTAGAGCAAATTGATATAAAAATCTTTTAACTGAAAAAGTTCCTGGAAGAAAGGCACTGTAATGTACTAGAAAGAGAATCAGATTGGGAAGAAAGAACCTTCAGTTGCAAATTTCTTACCTATAAGAATTAGAGCTTCTAGATCCACCTATTAACTAACTTCCCACAAGCAGAATTCCTTATATTTCTTTAGAGTATTGCCACAATCAGTTAATCCACCTAGGTGGCCATTTTTTCTCTAAATATTACAATTTTAAGACAAAAAATACAGTTTTTACACATGCACTTATCTGCATATACACACATTGTTTTCTTCTTCATCATTCTCTATTAATCTTTCCATTTTTTCTCATCACCTAAACAGTCATTTTCATTTTGTAATCTTAACTTTAGTGGCATTTAGAAAATTCTCATTAAGAAGATTTGGACACTTATCCTTTGGACTCTTCTTTTTTGGATAAGGTGGAAGGTACTCTGGTAGGGCTAATATTGAATATCTGAACCACTGTAGTAAAAACTTGTGAGTGTGGATTTTCCAGGGAAAGAGTGTGATATCAAAAGGTAGTACTCAACCTCAAGACAAAAAGAAAACACAAACTCATAACATTTTGACTGAACTAACAGATAGTTAGAGGTGACTTAATAGTTCTTCAGGACAACCAGTTTTTATTTAATAAATGTCATTAAATTAAGATGAAATAGCAAGATGCAAGATGTAATAGCAAGAAGCAATCAATCCACCACTGTATTGATTATTTCATAGACATTTGTGACATGATTCAGTCAGACATTCCACCTATTTAATACCAGTTCTAGCAACACTGGGAGAGAATAATCTATTGTGCAGGAAATACCTAGAAAACTAACAAGATGAAGCAAATATTAGGCTGCATGAGTCAACAAACTATCATTTAGGGATACTCGGTCATGAATCTTTTCTGTTTTTCATTTAGTTGATCTTTTACATTTGAGAGCCTCTTTTGTTTTATACTTTTAGTTCATGGTAGCTTGGAAAGAACTGAATCTTGGACAAGCACCATGTCAGGGATACCCACTCCAGACCTTTTATAGCCTGTTTCACCTTTGTTATTTAAGATACAGTTTCATCATCACAATCACTAGTAATGGACACTTCACTGCTTGTTCCCTTTGTAGATTTTAAAACTTTCCACACTCAGGAGGTCTAGCGAGAGCAGCAAGTAAAAACTGATGAGGAGAGAGTGACACAGACCCATAAAAGGAGTTTTGAAGAGCAAAGTTTATTTAGTTCATTGCAGTGGGTGGGAGCCAGGGTCAAGAGAGCAGAGGAGGATGGAATTGAGCAAAGTCCTGAAAACACAGACAGGCGGGACTCACCTCTAGTTTTTTTGTTGTTGTGCTGAGTAAAATGTTGATGTGGTAACCAACCTCACACCCACACTCACACCTACAACCAAGGGTACTGTCCAGGGCTGCAGGAAAAGGCCCTGGCTTGAGGGAAAAGAGGGGAGAAGCATGCGAGAAACAGAGGGGTAATGAGTGGAGTGGGAGAGTGATCCATGAAATAACCAAGGGTGTGAGTAACCCGCACAGCTGTGCGACTTCTGGAATGAACTTCTTCCTTCTGGGGGTTGTTTTGGCAGGTGGCGTGATCATCCTGAATATCCATTTAATGATGAATACTGACTTCAGATTCTTCCTCCCTACAAGTGCCCAAAGATGCGCACAAGAAAGGGGCCTCACTGTCCTCAGAAAAAGTGGTAATGGAATGATGCCCAACTTTTGTGTAGCAACCGTGACTTTAACTTAGCTAAACTTTAACAAAAACTGTTCAGATCTCATGAAATAATTCTTTAGAAATTATTAGCTAACAGTGCAAAGACCAATGTTTTCTGCATTCCATATGGAAAGATTTAGAAAATATTTAAAAGGCATGTGAAGATAATACCTCATGAATCTGGGTACTACTGTTGGTAGTCTGAATTCTTTAGCAGTTAACAGGACAACCAAGAGTGGGGAGAGCCTGCAGGTACCAGTGTCCTGACAGTGGCCTTGAAATGCAGACACAGCCAAGATGAGATGCACACATGCATGATTAACAAGGAAATGATTTGTCCCACCATGAGTAGATGTAGAGGGCTAAGTGTGGAAAAAGTCTTAAAATTGAGCTATGTAATTAACACAGTGGTAGACAAAGCCCTGGTGATCTTACTGCTATTGTTGTGCTGCTATTTTGTTCCATCCAATGTGTGTTTCTGTAGCCTTTACCCAGTTTGGAGAGTGGATTATTACTAGTTCTATCTTGCATCCTTAAAAGGCCTGGGCTCTAACACAACTGATGACTCGCATTGACTCTGTCTTATCCCCCTTGTGCACAGCCATCAAAAACCACTATTAAGTGACTTAAGAAAACACATGCACAAATAAACTCTGCATCAAGAAATTGTACTGACTGCTATTTTAAAGGAATATATTTTAAAAGAATATATTTTAAAAGGAGGATTTAGGAAGCATGATGACATGACATAATATTATTATACTTACAACTTTGAGTGTTATTGAGATAGCTATATGAATTTTGAAAAGTGGCAAGCTGAAAATAATACTGGTGATTTGCTTTACATAAATCTTTGAAAAGCGAATAAGAAGACTATTAGAATTCAGCATTACAGATAAGTTAATTAGATGTCTTATAGGTCACTGTCATAAGGTGAGTTCTTCAAAAATTATATTTTTCAAAACCAATTTCTTATAATTTCCATTGCTTACACATATATTTTTATTGATTACAAAAGTCTGATCTTGAGGGGCCAGCATTGGAATGCACAGGTTAAGCCACCACCTACAATGCTGGCATTCCATTTGGGCGTCGGTTTGAGTCCCAGCTGCACCATTTACAATCCAGCTCCTTGCTAGTGCACCTGGGAAAGCAGTGGAAGACGGTGCAAATCCTTGAGCCCCTGCAGTCACATGGGAGACCCAGATGAAACTCCTGCCTCCTGGCTTTGCCCTGGCCCAGCCTTGGCCATTGAAGCCATTTGGAGAGTGAACTAGCAGATGGAAGATCTGTCTCTCTGTAACTCTGCCTTTCAAATAAAAAAAAAATCTGATTTGTAAACTTGTTTCCAGTGATCTAACATTTGTACAATTCTGTCCTGTGGAAAATATTTTGCTCACAAGAAACAATAAAAGTTGAATGATTTTTCTCCACATGAATCTCCATTTTCTAAGTTGGGTAAAAGGGAAGAATCATCTTAATTCAAAAATTTAAAAGGCCTTCAGTTGAGTACTGTCCATCTAGCAATGGGAAGAGAAGGAAGTAAAAGGGCTACCACAGTGGAAGAGCACAAAGTTGAATCCTGATCCACGTTGCCTGAGTCTTGCAACATGCTCCCAGAGGTCCTAAGTGAGGTGGAATAGAGACAACACCTATCAGACCATTGTTTAAAGGATCACATTGGAAAAAGAGTCCCACGATCCACCAAGGAAGAAAATTCTTCTAAACATGGAGGAAGGGATTCCTATCTCAGTCCTCACAGATGGGGGAATTGTTGGAGACAGAAATTAGGAAGGTCAAGAAAGAAGAACAGTGGGACCTGCCTTTCCAAAGTCACTTCTGCTCCCTCTCATGCCCCTCTGAAGTTTCTCACTTGCTATAGGAAAATTGTGTCCCCACAAAGTTCCTATGTTGAAGTCCTAGCACCCAGACCCCAGAATGTGGCCTTATTGGAACGTAGGGTTATTGCATATGTAATTAATTAGATGAGGTCGTACAGACAAAACCAGGGGAAATTCACCCTGTGAAGATGAGGCAGACGGGGTAACACCTCCATAAGCCAAGGAACACCAAAGACAGCCGGCCACTACCAGGAACCTGGCAGGAGGCATGGTGCACGTGCTCCGTACAGACCTCAGAAGGAACCCCCACCCCTATGCTGACACCTGACTGCAGACTCCCAGCCCCCCTGGTCGTGAAACAACGGATTTCTGTGGGTTGAGCCCCCCGTTGGGTGGCACTTTGCTATGGAGGCCTGCAGAGTAACACCATTCTTCAGTAGAGATTTCCAGTCCCTCCAGCTGACATCTGCAGTAAAAATCGGCTAAGCCCAAGGATTGATAACCAGTAGTCATGACCTTCCTGGGGACTTTTGCAACCCCAAAGTGATGTTTGCCTTTAGAAAAGTCAGTATTTCTAGTGTATGGCCTTTGATCAGCTATGGAGTAAGAGCCAGGACTTCCTGCCCTAGCCTGCACAATTGTTCTTGGCCTGCCTACCCTAACTGTTGCCACAAGGGCCTTCCCTGGGCAGTCCACAGCACAGTCACAGACAGTCCACAGCACTGGGGTGCCGGGAGAGTGGCAAGGCAACAAAGCCATGTCCTCAGCCTTCAACACTTTGTCGTGTGCACATTTTGAGGCCACAGTTATGAGGATTCATGAAGGTTGAACAACTTGCATGTCCCAGACTTGCCTTCTCTCTCTGGAACTCGTAACTTTCAGGCTTCCGCTGCTGACTTTCCCCATTTCTGACCATTGCAGGGTAATGATGGAATCTGGTATCTTGTGGAGCCCTGGTCCTGAACTATGAACCTCCCTCAACTTTGAACTGTCGTCTTGATGCTTCTGCCTCCACATACCAGATCTCCAAGTTCTGTTTCATTTCATTCAAGAGAACAGGCTAAGAGAGTGACACCTCACTAGTAGGCTCACCCTCTCACAAGGGCATCTTGTGGAAGCCTTTCTCACTGGGTAACATCTCCTCTGGCAGAGCCATACAATGTAGGGGGATTCCCACCATTCTGTGGTCTCTTCAGGGTCCCAGCTCGAGGTCAGGCTGCCCTCCAGCATTGGGGCAGACCTCTCCTTTTGCAAGGTGCGTGATGACTTGACTCAGCAGTTAGAAGTTGCTGCAAGCTTATCAGACCCTCTTACGAAGGCCACATTCCTTGCCCATTTATGTTTCTGCACCTCCAGCTTGAACACTTATTTCTTTTTGTCAGGATTTAATGGAAAGCCAAAAGAAGCATCCACCACAGATCTTCTCTTCCATCCCTAAAACTTAGATCTTAGTTTATGGCCTAAGTTGCAAAATACAAGCATGTAACCTGTTATTTTTCAGTGATGTCATAGCCGTGCTGACTCCAATGAGAGCTGTATCCCACACTGTGCTTCACCCATGTTTAACTCAGTCACTTCTGAATTCCAGGATTTTCCACTTGCCATGTCCCACTTTTAGGAACTATTGTATCAGGATATTTTAGTTGGTAGTAAGAGAAACCCAACTCAAACTAGCATAAGCAAGAACTGAATTCAAATTCCTTGCAGAACTGGAAGCAAAGAAGTGCAGAAATGAAGTGGCTTTCTTCACTAGATACCAAAACAGTATCTCCCAAAGGTCAGTAACCAAATCAGCCTTGAGTTTATCTTTTCTTTCCAGACATAATAAAACTTATATCTCTACTAGACAAGACCATTAGCCTTTTGATTGCACAATAATCATTTTTATTACTCCCAGTTTTCTGAAACAATTCCTTTTGCAGTTCAAAATTAAATTTTCTGCGAATACTAACTGATAGAATAAAAAAGGAAGAGAACAATCCAACATGGGAAGTGGGATATACAGCAGACTCATAGAATGGCAGATGTCCTAAACAGCACTCTGGCCTCAGAATCAGCCCTTAAGGCACTCGGATTTGGCTGAAGAACCCATGAGAGTAGTTTAGGCATGGAAAGCCAAGACACTCTGGCAAAAAACAAAAACAAACAAACAAAAAAAACAAAACCTAAATGAAAGATCTCTGCAAGTGAGATCCCAGTAGAAAGAACGGGCCATCAAAAAAGGAGGTACCTTTCTCTGAAGGGAGGAGAGAACTTCCACTTTGACTATGACCTTGTCTAAATAAGATCGAAGTTAGCGAACTCAAGAGGCTTCCATAGCCTTGGAAACTCATGACTAGAGCCTAGGGAGATTTCTGAAACCATAAACAAGAGCGTCAAATTGTTAAGTCAACAACAGGAGTCACTGTGTACTTACTCCTCATGTGGGATCTCTGTTCTTAATGTGTTGTCCAATGTGAATTAATGCTATAACTAGTATTGAAACAGTATTTTACACTTTATGTTCTGTGTGTGTGCGCAAACGATGAAATCTTTACCTAATATATACTAAACTGATCTTCTGTATATAAAGAGAATTGAAAATGAATCTTGATGTGAATGGAAGGGAAGAGGGAGCGGGAGATGGGAGGGGTGCGGGTGGGAGGGAAGTTATGAGGGGGGAAGCCATTGTAAATCACAAACTGTACTTTGGAAAATTATATTTTCTAAATAAAAGTTTAAAAAAATAAAAAAGAAAATGCAATTAAAAAACAAAATTAAATTTTCTTATTCTATAAAATCAGAATTATGGAATATCCTTTCCGATGTTTCACACAGTGGATCTGGAAGGGTCAAAAACTCTGCACATTTCCAAGAAAGTTCTGGCCCTTGACTTCTCTTGGGAGATGACTTTGAAACCCTAGGAATGCCATTCCTGAGAAGAATGCTTTTTATTTCTTTTAAGCTGGGACATAGGGCCACGTCAGATAGCTTATGCTAATGATGTGCTTTATGGTGGGGAGGCCTTCACCTTCATGGTATCACTTTGACCACTGAGGGCCTTGGGAATGAGTGAGCAAGGTCAGCCT